GATGGCTGGCAGTTTGCAAGGTAGCATATTGGAAGGAGAGGGAAAACCTGCAAAAAAGAGAACTGTTCAGAATGGCAGCTGACATGGGAGGGATGGGTGCTCAGTAGTTCAGTGGGTATAAGGTCAAGTGAGAAAAACATAGATTTCATGGACATGACAAGCTTAGAAAGGAGATGAGGAGTGATTGGAGATAAACTACAGAAAGTACAAGTTCAAGTTCATCACAGGGCCTTACAGGAAGTTTAGTTCTGAGAGGCTAGTGGAAGGGAGGAGACAGGGAACAAGAAAAGGGAACTTAACAACGTGTCAGAGATAGTAGGAACTGCAGATGCTGGAGAATCTGAGATAACAAGGTGTACAGCTAGATGAACACAGCAGGCCAAGCAGCATCAGAGGAGCAGGAAGGCTGACATTTCGGGGTCTAGACCCTTCTTCTGAACAACGTGTCAGTTTCTCAAACACTAATGTGCATACCTTTGATGTGAAATAACTCCACAGAGGCTGATATCCATCACCAAGTCACCCATTATTTACACGTGGAGAGTCCTTGACACTAATCCAATTCCCTCAGAGGCAGCTCTCAGAGTGCACAGGATGTCTGACATTCCTGTTCTTATCTGTCAGCCAGGCCTCCCTGATTGGACCAGATTAAAAGCCCCAATCAGGGAACTCATATTCAATGAAGTACACCTGGCTGCTCTCGTCACAATCTCTACATCCCTCTCCCTCGGAGTCCGAAGGAATGGACTGGTTCTTCTTATTTTTGTAGATCCTCCTGGGGTGTTTTAGCAGCAGGTCAGGTTCCTCCAATTCTGCCTCTGATACGGGCAGTGTGTAATGCATGTTGGCTTGCCTCTTGTGCTGAGCATCTTTGGAAGAAATTCATTCTCTTCTGCAGGCAAAGGTGTCAGGTGGTGACATCCACCTTGTCCATCTCAGATTCCGAGGTATCTTCAAGGCTTGATGGAGTGGGAGAACCCATGGGTTCCGGTCCAGTCAGAAAGGCTGCCGGAGCAGCTGGGCACATTTTGCTCCCGCACCATTCGTGATTTTGCAGATTTCCTATGGTCCACATACTTATTCAGGACTGTCATAAGTATCTGAACTTAAACCTGACCTCATGCTGACCATGCCTCTTACCCATGCAGGACACTTGCCATGATTCCTACACCAAACTTCATCCCCTGAAGTAAACTGTCTCTCTCGCTTAGCAGAGTCTTGTGTCCGGCATTGCTGCCATTTCACTCCCCTCCCCCAGGTTCAGGAAAACCAGATTTAACCTGGTGTGCAGTCTTCTCTCCATTAGCAACTCTGCTGGAGCTATCTTTGTACTTGCGGCAGCGGGGGGATGGGGGGATTCGTTCCTGTACTCAAATAGGAACCAGGACAGGCTGTACCTAGTGAAGCTGTATGCTGTTTCTTTAAGCCTGCCTTCAAAGTTTGGACTGCTCTTTCTGCCAGACCATTGGACAATGGATGGTATGGAGCCATCCTTATATGTTGAATACCACCTGACTTTAGGAAATACTCAAATTCTCTGCTGGTAAATGATGGTCCGTTATCTGTGACCAACACTTCTGGGAGTCTGTGTACAGCAAAAGATGCGTGTAGTTTTTCTATCATCATCCCCATGTTTGACGAATGAACCATATGCATGTCCAGCCACTTTGAGTGGGTGTCCACAATAACTAAGAACATTAAGCCCATGAAAAGACCTGCATACTCTACGTGTCACTGAATTTGGGATTTACCCAGCCATTCCCATGAATATTTCCCTTCTAAGGCATATGTCCGCATATGCATAGACACCAAGAGAACATCCAAGTTCTCTAAGTGTTCCTTATTAGTCTTCCCTGTTATCAGATAAATGGTGACCTGGGGTAGACTTTGTAAAATGTTCTCCAGGTCTGTTGAAAAATTGCCATGTGAGGTATGGTCAGCGTGGGCAGTCTCATATATTGGTACAAATTCTTATGGGCATTAATTGAGGCTTACTTGTGGGAATTCTCATCTAACCACAACTGCAAGTACGTATGGCTCATATCTGGCTTCGTGAAGGAGGCTCCCCCACTTACAGTTTTGCGCATAAATTCTCTATGCGAGGGACTGGCTATTTATCCAGCTGTGAAAAGTGGTTTACTCTTTGTTTAAAATTCCCACAAAGGCAAACCAACCTGCTGGGCTTCACAATCGGCACAACCAGTGCTGCCCATTCAGCAAACTGGACCGGTTTGATAATTCCTTTGCTTTCCAGCCTTCTAACTGCTGCCTCTACTTTTTCCCATAAGGCAAATGGCACCGGACAGGCCTTGCAGAATCATGGAACTGCTTCCTGGTCAACATGCAAGGTGGCCTTGCCTCCTTTGATAGATCCTAGACCTTCCTGAAAAACTCCCGTGTATTTAATTATGACTTCACTCTGGCAGCCATTTTCTAGCTGGAAATGTTGAGCCAATTTGGGTGAACCTTTCTCAATTTTGCCACATCAAGCTTGGGCCTGAACCTTGTACTACGATCAGTGGTAACTGAACCAGCTGCCTCACATAAGAGACCAGAACCGAAGTTATAGCCTTAAATCGTAAAAGATTCCCCATCAAGGTTCTCAGTCTAGCCGAGGTCTTGTGCAAACTTAAAGGTTGGAGTTCAGAGTGAATTTTGTTCATTCTGCAATCACTGAAACGGCCACGTCAGTATCGACCTCCATTAGAACCGATGACCATTTGATCAGATGCTTATTTTGATTAGTTCTGATTTGAATTGCTAAGCAATTTAACTGTTCCAAATCAGAGGTAGGTCGACTTTCCAGGATGTGCACTCTCTTGGATACCAGCCTATGAATTCTCTTACTCATGTGACATTGCTGTGGCTTTTAAAAGGTTATTTTCAGAGAATCACAGAATCCCTACGGTGTGGAAACAGGCCATTCGTCCCAACAAGAGCATCCCACCCAGACTCACTCCCCTAACCTGTCCCTGTAACCCTGCATTTCCCATGGCTAATCCACCTAACCTACACATCTTTGGACTGGGGGAGGAAACTGGAGCACCCGGCAGAAACCCACGCAGACACAGGGAAAATGAGCAAACTCCACACAGATAGTCGCCTGAGGGTGGAATTGAACACGGGTCCTTGGCATTGAGAGTTCTCCTGGATTGGAAAACTGCATGTGAGATTCTGTGTCCGAACTTTCCTTTTTTTTGCCAAGGAATGCGTTTATGGGATGTTATGATATTGGACCAGTTAATTAGTAACAGTTACTGTATCTATTATACTGTTAATTTTCCAATAGAGTTAAATTATTTAAATTCCTTTTTCATTCATTGTATTTTAACTACAGTGTTTAAATAAATTGTGTTCTGCTTAAGTCGAGTAGTTTGACCAGTTGCATTGCATCGGGAACAGACACTTTACATCTGCTTTTAAAATAAGATAAAGTCAGGGTCTAGGCTACCTTCCTACAATATTTTGAGGGGGTCTGGTCTGGTCCATAACACTAAATTCAGGTCTAGTGGGACTCTTCTGCTTTCTTAAGTCTGCAGCAACTACAATGGCTTGCTGACCCAGATCCTTGTGAAAATCTTAACCGTTTATCCTAAGCTTGGGGTTTTGCTGCTGGCTGACCAGGAGTCTCCCTGTTCAGGATACGTTCTGAATGATGCAATGCAATTGCCTTCAAATGGTGTTCCCCAAGTCAGTCAGACTGGCGAGAGTGTCCACTTCCATCGGAACACACTACAACTCATTTGCTCCAGTTGCTGCATTTTCCAATGATAAAGCTAGTTGTAGTGCCTGTTTGAAGTCCAGTTGGGCTTCAGCTAATAAGCACTTTTGCCAAGTTACACCATTAATCCAACATACCAAACAGTCTCTCAGCATCTCTTTCAGGGTTAAACCAAAGTCACATGCTTCTGCCAATCATCTTAACCTCGTCAAAAATCCCGATACAGATTCCCCTGGTTCTCAAATTGACAAGTAAAACTGAGATTGTCTCAGAATTAGAGGGGGGTTGGGGTTGTAATATTCCTTAACTAAATCCAACAGCTCGAAAGGTTTTAGTATCTGGTGCCTCAGGGAAAGTTACACTCTTAATAACTGAAAAAGCTGCTGGTTCACAAGCTGTCAGGAGCTGCTTTTCATCTGCCCGAATGTCATTTGTCCAGAAAAAATTAACATATTCCTTCCAAATAATGTGCCGTCTTCATGGCAGGATTGAACACGTCAACCTAAATAATGGCACGATGCCAGAAATGCTGACCCTATCTCATAGATGACTGTTGCAAGCAAATTTCTTCAGCAGTGTGCTTTTTTCCCATCACCATTGAAATAATCTACAGAGGCCAGTGTCCTGTCACCAAGTCACCTTTTATTTACACATGGAGAGTCCCTGACACTGATCCAGCTCTCTCAGAGCCAGCTCACAGAGTGAACAGGATGTCTGACACTCCAGTTCTTATCTGTCAGCCAGAGCTCCCTGATTGGGACAGTTAATCTGGTCCAATCAGCAAACTCATTCTATGAGATCCACCTGGCTGACATCATTACAATCACTACAAATGAAATGCAATAACTTCAACTTACATTTCTTATCACTTTGATGTGGTGCTTCCTTTGTGACTTCAGCAAATCTACAGTCAGACTGATTGTACACTAACATGCTGGGATGTGATTACAGAGATTCAAACAAGGTAGCAAATTCAATAAAAAGAATTGCAGTACCAATAGAATAAGAGTTAGTAGAGCTGTTTGCAAATAATCTTAACGTACATACCAAATCAAAGACAGCTGGTCACTTTCCGGAAAAAGTCAGAAGTCCTGAGACTTCACTGGATGAAGGAGCAGCGCTCTGAAAGCTTGTGATTTCAAATATACCGAATGGACTATAACCTGGTGTCATGTGACTTCTGACTTTGTCCACTCCAGTCCAACACTAGCACTTCCACATCATGACTTTCTGGAAAGTCAAACAGCTGGCAAACTACAATCCCCTGTATATAAAGTACCTGGGAGAGTGTTCTCCTAAGGTTGAAGATCTGGGCATTGTGGCCGGAATGTTCTTGTTCTAACAGCATTTGCTTCAGCTGTTCCCTTTCTATTGCGACTGTGTTGAAGGCAGACTTTAAAAGACAATGAACTGTGAAAGGAAAACAGTAAAACACTATAATTAAATGGTTTAACTGTGCTGATTGCTTATCAATCTGATATTACCCTACAATTTTATTTTTCAAATAACTTTCGATGAAAAATATATCATTACCACCGAATCTTGTCTATTTAATCATATTACTTTTCATGAAGAACATAACTGGGGAGATGTATTGGTTGAATAACAGTTAACTAAATAGTACCGTAATGTAACTTAAGCATCAGTCCTTCAGATATAATTCTCTTTTGGAGGTAAACACACATGGTGGTTAGCAGCAGTGGCCATCTATAAAATACACTCCAATATCTTGACGGTAGACATTGGGAAATAGTTGCATGGTTTCAGAGTAAAGGTTAACCAAAAGTAAAAAGTTTACCTCAATACCAAGAATTTTCTAAGGCAAAGTTCAAACTTATCAGAATTCTTGCTTTTGTGATTTCTTTGTGTTTTTCCAGGTATGTACATGATTAATTTTTTGTTCAAAATGACTCATCAGTAAATACAGGTAACAAGGGCCCGTGGATTTAACTATTTGAAAAGTGAAGGTTTTCTACAGATTTCCCGCTTCACAAAACCCTCCAAGTAAATGTAGATATTTTAACCTTTGCAAACTTTTGCTATATTATAGCATTGGTGTAGAATGTTCTGCTCTCTACAGCAGCATGAACAATGATGAGAAGTGTCAGAAAATACAGATAAAATTGGAATCTTGACATTGAGAAAATTTATGACTTTTCCCCTCAGGATTTAAAAAGAAATTTTAAAACTTTGCTAATAAACAGCAACTACCATGTGTATATTTTAGTAATGGCCCAACTCATTGCATTTCTTTGCAACATCCAATTCTTCTAATCCCCGAGAGATCAGATGGTGCGAACTCCTACATGAAACCGAATGTGGGTTTGGTGGCAGCAGCTCGCTGTGTGCTTCTCCAAGTTGTCACCCAACTCCTTCCTCACCACCATGCATACCGTTCTCCTCCACCCTTCTCTCATGCACGTTGGCATCGGGAAACCACCAACCTCACCACATCACCATGTCCGCTCTTGGACCAACTTACACACCACTTCAGTCTATCCAAGTCTTCACTTTGGAGCTCAGTACACCTACAACCTGCTTGCTTCTGCAAGGTCATTTTACACACTGCGGCACATGAATCTCATGCATTGACACAGGATGCATCTCATGGCTCTTTGCTTCATTTCCTAGCACCCATTCACCTCACACTCACTTTAAGGCTGTCAGCCTGAGACTCAAATTGCTTTGTACAACACAGAGTCAGATACACACATGCCAGAGCCAGCATGGACTGACGTTGATCGCCTCTTGGATCCTGTTTATGGAATGCCTTTAACAGACCTGCCTGCTGTCTCTGTGCCTGCCTGCACATTGTAACAGAGTCATTAATGGCTGAGACCGTGGGGTCCTATCCTGCCTGGGGCTGAGCAGATTTCTGGTCTCTGGCACTTCTTAGAGTGTCACAGACCTGTGGTGTTTCTTGCTTGACCAGCTGCAGAGATGTGTCAGTGAGGCACTCAGATTGTGCTCCCGAGTCTCATCTAGAAAGAGAACCGACTGAGGTGACAGTCTTTGAGCTAATGGAGTGTGCAAGTGAAAGCCCTGCTTGATGTATCCTGGAAGGGCTGAATATTTTCCTCCTCAGAGGTGGAAGTACATCTGAGAATCTCAAATGCTGGCCTCGACTTGGATCAGGTTTGCTGGGTGCTTCAAGTGTCTACAAAAAAGGGAACTAGCTGTCTGAGATGAATAACAACGTGTGTAGATCAAGAATGAGTTTGCACTGGTGGTAATGGGAGAGCAGTTTAACACAGCACAATTAAGCTTACTGAATAGGTTTGTTTTTGAGGTTTCCCAACACGAACAGTCATGCTTTTCTCTAGCCAAATACAAGATTGTTTGCTCAAATGGCATGAGGGTGCTTCAGACCAGCATCTCCCCACTAGTTTTGTCCCTTTTGGTGAAGTTGTAAGGTATTTTCTCCTGCAACTAGTCAAAATGAGGGACTATGTCAGAAATGGATGGAGACCAGTTAGAGATGATGCACGAACAGGATAGATGCTGAGGTATCCTCAGCAAATGAGTAGGAGGCACAGAGGACAGGAGGGCTTAGTAGTTTGTCAGGATGAAGTGGGTGCGATCCATCGAGTGGACATGATGTATGCAATAACGAGTTAAGTCCATGAGCCTTTGAGAGACATGTGCAATGGCAGAGTTAGTGGGAGTGGTGACCCTGTGAGTGTGAAGAAGCATGGACAAGATGGTGGCATTTAATCTTGTAAAGCACAGAATATCACTGTAGTGATTGGAACCAGGTTGACCCATTGATGATGAGGTCATTGATTGGGGTTGTTAACCTGGGCCAATCAGGAAAGCCCTGACCAATATAAACAGGAGATTAGAATCTCCTCAGTTGAGGACTGACTCTGAGCTGGCCGGCCATAGCTAATGTATTGTGCACAAGTAAATAAAGGGTGTATTGGTGACAGAATACCAGCCTCTGTGCAGTTATTTCAGTGGCGATGAGAGAAAACAGGGTGTGCCTGAAGAACTTTTGCTTCCTACAATCATTGTGGAGTTGGGGTAAGCATTTCTGGCATCATGCCTTTATTGAAGAAGCTGACTCATTTGATGCTGCTGTTGAAGACTGGGCCCAGTATGTGGAAAGAATGCGATATTTTTTCCAGGCATATGACATTGGGACAGATGAAAAGTAACCAGTAATCCTTCTAACTGCTTACAGACCTGCAGCACTCTCAGTTATAAGGGGCTTAACTTTCCCAGAGACACCAGACACTAAAAGCTTCCAAGAGTTGATGGAATTGGTTAAGGAATATTAAGACCCTAAACCTCTTTTAATCCTGAGATGCTATCAGTTTTATTTGGCTGTTAGAAAGCTGGGGGAATCCTGTATTGGGATTTTTGATGAAGTTAAGATGACTAGCAGAGGCATGTGATTTTGGGTTGACTCTGAATGAGCTGCTGAGAGACCATTTGGTATGTGGGATTAATGATGTAACTGTGCTGAAACACCTACTAGCTGAAGCCCAACTGGACTTCAAAAGGCACCACAACTGGCTTTGTCATTAGGAAAAGCAGCATGGAGCATAGGAACTACAGGGCATCCCAATGGAAGTGGACACCCTCACCTGGTCGACTGAGCTTGGGAAACACCATGTGAGTGCAGGCAATCACGGAGCCTCATACTGGGCATAGCCTGAGCAGAGGGACCCCAGGCCCAGCCAACAGCAGAGCCCCACAACAAAGCCGAGCTTCGGCCAAATGGCTAAGTAGTTCTTCGGGATCTGGGCCGGCAAGCCATTGTAGTGGCTGCCAGTATGGGGACTCGAGACAGCAAAGGAGTCCTACAAGGCCCAACTTGAGTAAGAAAACTTGTAGGCTGGTACCCAAGAGAGTGCACACCCTGGAACGTCCTCCTACATGTGGGTTGGAACAATTAAATTGCTTAATGAGATCCAAATTGAAACTGATTTAAAATTAATGTTACGTTAAATGCTCACACAGTTTCCATGCAGGCCCATACTGGAGCAGCTGTATCTGTGGTTGCAGAATTGGTCTTCAACAAGATTTGCTTGGCTCTGCAATCTTTGTTTCCGCAAGACCTCAGCCAGACTGAACATACACTGGGGAACCATTGCAGATTAAGGGTGTGACTTCAGTTCCGGTCTCCTATGAGAAGCAGTTGGTACAGCTCCCACTGATTTTAGTAAAAGGCTCGGCCCCAAGCCTATTGGGACAGAATTGGCTGAGAAAGATTTACCTGGATTGGCTCAACTATTTTAGATTAGAAAATGGCTGCCTCAGTGAAGTCCTAGTCAAATACCAAGGAGTATTTCAGGAAGGGCTTGGGACTATCAAAGGGTCCAAAGCCCACTTTACATGTTGACCAGGAAGCAATGCCACAATTTTGCAAGGCCCACCCAGTGCCATTTGCCTCACGGGCAAAAGTAGAGGGAGAAATCAGGAGGCTGGAGGGTGAAGGAATCATCAAACCAGTGCAGTTTGTGGAATGGGCAGCACCGTTCATACCAACTGATAGCTCAGTCTGCCTTTGTGGGTATTTTAAGCAAACGGTAAACCGCTTCTCACAGCTGGATAAATACCCAATCCCTCAGTTAGAGGATTTGTACACAAAGTTGGCAGGAGGACTGTCCTGTACGAAGCTAGACATGAGCCATGCCTACCTGCAATTGTGACTGGATGAGGAGTCCCAGAAATACGCTACAATTAGTACCCATAAGGGTTTATACCAATATACAAGACCGCCATTTGGGGTATCATCAGCCTGTGCCCTTTTCCAGCGGACCATGGAGAACATTTTACAAGGGCTACTCCAGGTTGCCATTTATCTGGATTCCATGCTCATAACAGGGAAGGTCAATAAAGAACGCTTGGAAAACTCCGACATAGTGCTTTAAACATTTCTCCCAGGTAGGCGTACACCTTACAAGGGAAAAATGTGTGTTCCAGGCACCCAAGTGACCTAATTGGGTTACAGAGTCGCCAAAAGCAGGTTACACCCGTTGGAAGAGAGTGCAAGTGATCAAAGGAGCCCCGGCTCCCACGTCTGTACCAGAGCTTAGGTCTTTCCATGGCCTGGTGAATTATTTCAGAAAATTCATACATAATCTGTCCTCCATCTTGGCCCAGCTTTGGTCAGCCATGGAAATGGTCACATAGCCAAGAAGTAACCTTTTATGGAAGTGAAAAAGCAGCTACCATGATCTAAGGTGTTGGCCCACTACGATCTGTAGTGAGAGGTAGTGTGATGCCTCCCTGTACAGTATCGGGATAGTACTGGCTCACTGGTAGCCCAATGGAGAGGAACACCCCATAGCCGATGCTTCCCCAGACTTTATCTGGGCATATTTGCGTTCAGCATCAGCCAGAGAAGGAAGGTTTGGCCGTCATCTTTGGTGTGAGGAGGTTCCACCAGTACCTATACGGAT